GTAAAAAGAACTTTAAACAATTACACGAAAAAATGATAGATTATGTCCAGATAACAACGAGTGGCCTCTTCCTTTTCAAACTTGAATAAAAATATCCGTTAAAAGATTAGTTTGTTGACTTTATTGAAAGAGTTTGTGATGGAATTATCAAAAATATTATTCCAGATAAATAAAGTCAAATTCAATAATTATACTTTTTATGAAGAGTTACCCCTGAAACAATGTCGATTATTGCTTAGCACTTTACTAGGAAAAACTTACAACTTACTTTATTCTCATTATCCCAATCAGACATATTTAAGCGTGTCATTTTTTTCTTCTTAAAAGTAATAATTAATTTATAATTATTACATTTTAACCATATATGTTTGGCGGTCATGATTGGCCATATTAATTAATAAATTTAATTCCATTAATTTTCTTTTTATCTCGACCAAGACGTTAGATAAAAAGAATAATTAATTGAATTTATATTTCACCTTATATTACCACCAATAAAATCGTTCTTTTATTAATTTCATATACTATATTATGCCATCTCATAATATAACTATTTCCAATGGGTTTTTTTAGTGTAATTTATTTGTTTTGTTTTTTTAATTGATATTCTATGATAATCAAAAATGAACATATATTAAAGTAAAGAATAAAACAAAAGCCACAACATTTTCACAAACTTAAGCTAGATTTTTTTTTAAGACGGTAGACTTATTTTTCTTAAATTTTCTTTATGCCATCTCATAATATAACTCGATTTCCAATGGTTTTTTGTTTTTTAGCGTAATTTATGTTTTTTAAAAATTGATATTCTATGATAATCAAAAATGAACATATATTAAACTAAAGAATAAAACAAAAGCCACAACATTTTAACAAACTTAAGCTAGAATTTTTTTTTAAGACGGTAGACTTATTTTTCTTATAATTTTCTTTATGCCATCTCATAATATAATTATTTCCAATGGTTTTTGTTTTTTTAGCGTAATTTATGTTTTTTAAAATTGATGTTCTATGATAATCAAAAATGAACATATATTAAACTAAAGAATAAAACAAAAGCCACAACATTTTCACAAACTTAAGCTAGATTTTTTTTAAGAGGGTAGACTTATTTTTCTTAAATTTTTTTTATGCCATCTCATAATATAACTCGATTTCCAATGGTTTTTTGTTTTTTTAGCGTAATTTATGTTTTTTTAAAATTGATATTCTATCATAATCAAAAATGAACATATATTAAACTAAAGAATAAAACAAAAGCCACAACATTTTAACAAACTTAAGCTAGCATTTTTTTTTAAGACGGTAGACTTATTTCTCTTATAATTTTCTTTATGCCATCTCATAATATAACTATTTCCAATTTTTTTTAAATTGATATTCTATGATAATTAAAAATGAGCATATATTAAACTAAAGAATAAAACAAAAGCCACAACATTTTAACAAACTTAAGCTAGAATTTTTTTTAAGACGGTAGACTTATTTCTCTTATAATTTTCTTTATGCCATCTCATAATATAACTATTTCCAATTTTTTTAAAATTGATATTCTATGATAATTAAAAATGAACATATATTAAACTAAAGAATAAAACAAAAGCCACATTTTAACAAACTTAAGCTAAAATTTTTTTTTAAGACGGTAGACTTATTTTTCTTATAATTTTCTTTATGCCATTTCATAATATACCTATTTCCAATGGTTTTTTTTAGTGTAATTTATGTTTTTTTTTAAATTGATATTCTATGATAATCAAAAATGAACATATATTAAACTAAAGAATAAAACAAAAGCCACAACATTTTAACAAACTTAAGCTAGCTTTTTTTTTAAGATGGTAGACTTATTTTTCTTATAATTTTCTTTATGCCATTTCATAATATAACTATTTCCAATGGTTTTTTGTTTTTTAGTGTACTTTATGTTTTTTTTTTTAATTGATATTCTATAATAAAAAATGAACATATATTAAACTAAAGAATAAAACAAAAGCCACAACATTTTAACAAACTTAAGCTAGAATTTTTTTTTAAGACGGTAGACTTTTTTTCTTATAATTTTCTTTACGCCATCTCATAGTATAACTATTTCCAATGGTTTTTTAATTTTTTTAGTGTAATTTATGTGTTTTTTTAATTGATATTCTATGATAATCAAAAATGAACATATTAAACTAAAGAATAAAACAAAAGCCACAACATTTTAACAAAATTAAGCTAGACTTTTTTTTAAGACGGTAAACTAATTTTTCTTATAATTTTCATTTTTAGTTTATCTACCTTAAAAAATAAGAAGGTAAGTTATTTCAGCAATAAGATCATTTCATAGTAAAGTAAAGATTGGAACTTTTAGAGAATTTATTATATTGCTTTTGTTAGAAATAGTTAATATAAGAGTAATGGAGACCTACAGTTGGAACAAAATGGAAAAGAGAGAACGTATTTTTACAGTTGGTACAGTTTGACATTATTTTCTAAGAGTAGTTAATTAGTAATATTTTATCATCATTGGTTGAGATAGATAAGAAAACTGTTTGAACAACATAAATTAAATATGAATCTAATGCTTATTGTGGGGTTTTTCTCTTCTGAAACAAAAAATATATTCAAATGTGCAATTCAAACTGCTAAAAATTGTATTGTTCATCTTCGTGCATTTTTTCCCCTGACGGACTATGATAAATATGTTCCGCTGTATTCACCGCAGGAAAAAACTTTCTTCTAAGCACTTAGGCTTGAAACAACGTTAGGAGAGAATGTGGTTGTTTTAAAAAAGTCGTGACACTTTTCTGTTTAGATTTATGCGTTGCTTTTTAAAAAGATCTATGGTCCCGGCAAGAGCACAGTTTATTCATTCCCTACCGTGTGCAATTGAAACTTTTAAATTGTATGTTTTACCATTGAACAACCTGGAGTACATGTCCTGAAACTGAAACATGTTGGGATCAAAAGGCATTCCAGTGGAATAAAAATAAGTTAATAGGGCAAAATAAAACGTTGAGTGAGTTCACTCACTTGACGCGCGACCACCAGCCATGAGTTGTTTTCTCTCAAAAGCCTGTCGGACCATGTTTTAATTTTTAAGTACAACTCAATAACACCTTTCGAACAACTTGTAATTTTTAGACTGACCGAAAAGGAAGGACGGCCTTTATGCACATCTGGGCGTTTTCTACCGGAAGTAATTCGAGAATTCTAGTTTTGATCCTATCCATCTCTTCCCCTGAAACAGCGTATCGGGAATTGACGCAAATTGGTTCGTTATATAATCTCGAATCAATGTAGCCCCTATCAATTCCACGGGCCCAGGAACGAACGAGAAACGTATCGACCCGGAGACCTGACGCCCCTTATAACAGAAAATTTATAAAATGGAACATCTTGATCAATTTTTCATTTTTACTTCTTTAGCGATCCGAGTTACGTATTCGTTTTGAAATTGGAAAGCTACCGCTTTTTCAAATATTTTTCCACTACCAAAGAATTGAACTGCAAAACTTCTTAAAAGAAATAATGAAAAGTATTTTTGAAGTTTGTATAGTCAACATTTATAAGCAATGTAAATTACAAGCTACTATCAACAAAACAATGTTTTGAAAAGATTTTTTTTCTTTACAATCGTAAGTATTGCAATCTTGAATGAGATAGTCGAGTGAATCTTGTTATATCAACTTTTTTTACTGACGATAAAAATTGATATTGCCAATGCCAAATCTTTATTTAAATAAGTTAAAAAATCAACATGTGGGTAGATTTGAAAAATGTCTGGAAAACTTGGCGATTGTATGAACAGTTCTTTTTTTTCGTTATATCTTCTATAATGACAGATTTTTTATTGAAATTTATTTTGACATATTATATCTAGCATCACAACGAATTTACACCCTTCATTTACTATTTCAAAATGCTGGAACTTCCAAAAATTTAATGATTTATTTCGATCGGGATTAAAAAGCCATTATTAAAAGTTATCATGAATGACATACTATGAATAATAGATCCGGCGAAATTTTTTAATTATACACGAGCTTGCGTACATTTTAAGGCGTCCTGGTTAATTTAAAGAGTAGAACGACATTTCCCTGAGAAAATTTTTGTATTTGTAAAGAAATTTTTCGTTTTTATTTCTATTTCGAATTAGTAAATTTTCGAATATTACATGAAATAAAGATGTAAACTATGATTTGACGGGATAGCATCTAGTCGCAATTTACAACCGGGGGTTTTTCAGCCGGTTTCAATGACCTTTGGGCACCTATTGATTTTAAATGGGGTTGTGCCTGCACCGTTCAGAAATAATTGGACAACGTTTATGTTTATTCGTTACCACCAAGGTAAAAATGTTAAGAAAACTATTGATTTTTATTTGACCGCTTGCAGAATAACTAGATAATTTGATAATTTTAAAAAAAACATAAGTGCAGGATATTTGAATTTCTATGCAATATCTATTTTAAAGTGTTTATTTTTTTCAAATATTAAGTAAGTAGAAAAATATTAGTTGATTTATACACATGAGTTATGGTGTGTTGTATTGATTGATTAGAGGGGGTACGCGTTGATTGAGGGCTGTTGATCAAGTTACCCCAATTAAAAGGGTACAGAATTTTTATTTGGACAAAGCCGTTTTTAAGTTTTTAAGCGGCCATGTTGAGGGTGACACCAGTGTTGCCAACGAACTTCCCGTTTTGAAAGGAAGGTATCGATTCTGTGTCTCGGCTCTTCGGGGGTTGCTGTCCTCCACCTCAGGGGGTGGAAAGAAAAGCTGTCGTACGTCATCTTTTGTCTAACGACCTCGGCGGTTTAATATCTCAATGATTGAAATCAGATCTTCCCTAATAAGGGCCCTCTGGGGCTCAAAGGAGAGGTGACTCGTGTACTATTTCTAGAACGCCGCTATCTACCTAGCGTCCGATATTATTACCCCGGGGTTTTTTTTGTTATTTATTTACAATTTATTTTTAGGAGCTTAGATCGGAAATATCGTCTCTACTCACTTTCCGAGTTCTTCCTTCAGGTCGTAGTTGTCGCTGAAACGCGTGCACGCGGATACGGCAGTCATATTTTCTCTTCTTCTTTGTCCAGGGTCTGGCTATCACTGAGAGAAGACCTTCTCTCAATCTGCTGCTTCCTCACTGCTACTCTACCTTTCCGAGCATCCAGAGCGCAAGCCCCGATCAATACACCGGCGTCACTTCTAGCTCCCGGACTCGCGCTTCTCCCTCTCGCTAGCTCTCTCTTCTCTATTCTATCTCTAAACCGCACTATGTACACACTCCCAGTCAAGCCAGAATCCCGACTGAGCTTGCGTCATATGTTCTATTAACAGCTGTCCCTCTAATCCCCACTCGCAATCCTTTCGCCCACTCTCATTCTCTCTCTTCCGATCCTCGTCAAAATCAAAAATCCTCATTCGCCTCACCTGCCCGAGGAGCGCGATGGACCCAGGAGGGTCGTAAACGGCCTGTCGAATGAGCTCCGCCTTACCCACATACCTCGTTCGCGATTTAAAGCCCAGATACTACTGACCTACTGTAATTTTAATGCTACAAAACATTTCTATAATCTCCTATATATTTACTCTTCCAAGAAAAAAAAAAACCTCGTAACAACTCGGATGACCTTTAGTGACCCTTCACGCACGTTCCCAAAGATGTCCTTAACACGAAACCGAATTACGTAAATATTAGCTAAGAACAGTTCGTTTGTTATTATGAGGTCATTAATCTGTCCCGTTTTAAACAGTACGCATGGGCTTTTCGGAACGGCCCAAAGAGAACGAATAGCCTAAGAACTTTGCGGCCAAATAAGAAAGCACCGGTCGACCTCGTTCGCATCTGTGATAGACAATTTCGTTAAAATGTTAACGACTTTACAACCTATATCATCATCCAAAAATAAACTAGTCATCATTGAAATCTCGGAGTACAAACCGTGTTGAATTTTGTCTGGCTTATTCCATCGTGAAAAAAATTATACTAGACAAAGGGCACTCTCGACACGACACGCAAGAATGGCACAATTACATAAAAGTGTTTACTTTGAGCCCTGAAGATGATCTCAATAAAGATCGAAACGTTGGCACGATAAAGAAAATGTTTTTTTGAAACCTACATCACACCAGACCGCATTTCACGATTTCTAAATAAATATCGATTAACGGTCACTAATCACCATTCACAATACTAGACAAAATTGAACCTGTTTTCCATTACATGCATTGTAATTATCAATTACTCTGACATCAACAGCCTTTCATAAAGATTAGGATTCATACATGTTCAATTTCGTACTGTTTCGTAAACACTCTCTACTCATTTATCTATGAAATTATCAAATATTTGAAGAAATCAATTTTTTTTTGTTTCCCACAAAATTCACTGAAATTCATCGAGGAAATCAAGATTTATATTATTATATTAAAAACTGCATACCTGCAAACAAGATAGGACAAAAATATTATTCTTTTGAAGCTCCTAAATTTTTAAATATATGCTAAAACCTATTTACCATTCATAATCCATGTCCATTCATTCATAACAAACATTCATTGATAATCTACCAGAAAAAATTGTAAATAATTTGATTGTACCCTGATATGCCTTGCCAATACTAATAAATTTGGCAAAATTTTAATGTCTGATGAAAGGTGAATTTTATTGTCTCCCAATATTTACCAAAATCGATCTCTTAGATTTTAATGTATTTTTCCTTATTCGTATAACCTTATTTTATACCATGTTATTATGTTACTATTCGTATAGTTTTATTTTACTTATTAGTTTATAAAGTTAGTTTCTNACTCTCTCTCTCTCTCTCTCTCTCTCTCTCTCTCTCTCTCTCTCTCTCTCTCTCTCTCTCTCTTTCTCTCTTTTTCTCTCTACCCTCGTTCCCCTTTCTCGCTCACTCTATTTTTTCCATATCTTTATATATTGATCTATCATTTTATCTATCGGCCTATCGTTTTTTTTACTTGTATTTTTTTTGTATTTTTAACATAAATATGTTCATAGAATAAAGTTTAATGCAGTCTATAGTATCTGTCTGTCTGTAATAAATGTACATATTAATATAATTTGTTGTTTCTAATAGTTAATTTTTTAATGGGCGCCTGTGGTTTGTTTAAACGCTTTTTTCTTACTATTTTTACATTATTTTAACTTTACTAATAATGTAATGAGAGTTTATATTGTCTAAACAGTTCTGTTTTTTCTCTTTTAATACAATGAGATTAAGATGCAATATGATATTTTTAGTTGTTACAATTTATTTAAATCGTGTAAATAAATTTAAATAGCTTTCTTTAAAAAAAGTGTACGTTTGGAATAAACTTATGATTTTTCCTTCTTGAAGGTGGGATAATAGGTCATCTCAAAAAAACCACAAGTTTTTATCCACAACGTTTCGGATTTATTTTAATCCTTCCTCAGGTGAGTTATCGCAATGGTTAAAACAGTGGTCGTCAGTCATTAATATTTTATAACAGTTTATTTTAAAAAAGAGCCTGTGTGGTACATATTCAGACTCCGAACAAACGTTTTAATATTTTGAACGTTTGGAATAAATATTGGAAATAAATATTTCTTTATAGCATAAAATTAAATTAAAAAAGCACGATTATTCTTCGAGAAAACAAACAAACACCTTTTAAATAAGTTCAAGAGTTTTGTAGCGAACTTTCTTACATTGTGGAAAGTAACTTTTTTTTTTGGCTTCCTACTTCAGCTTGGAAAAATCACATCGTCAAATAGCCAAGAGAAACAATATCTTTTGTTTGTATAAGTGAAATCAAATATTGAATCACGTTCCTTTTCAAAATAGAAGGCTTTCCTCCGCGAATGAACGAATCAGACAACGTGACCCGAACTTCAAAACAACTAAGTAAATTTGACTCGATATTCTAAAACTTGCAGAAATTAAATTTAAAGACGATTAAATATGAACAGTTCAAAAGGCTGCACAACAGATAAATTCTTTATCGGTGCATTTGTTTTTATAATGAAATACGCCTAGCGACAGTACCAATTAAAATGATTATTGACAATAAAAGTAACAGAAGACCATTAAGTAGTTTCCGATAAGCCTAATGATCCAATGCGAGCGACTGTTGATTATTTAATTTTGCAAAAAATAGAACAGTATAAACAGTAAAATAAGTTTAATCCTGTGTTGGGCATTTTAATAAAAATGCTTTCTTTTCAATCGAATAATAAGTCAACTTTAGGAAAAGTTAATATTAACGGGAAACTTTTTTTATCAAAAGTGCCAACTTTTAAATTAAAAGTTCAATACTTTACGCAATTTAAATTATCGATATCGAATATAAGAATGGATTTTTTGATCGTAATCATTTTTTATTATTAATTGTTGTATATTTTTTAATATAAATAAAAGGATTGTTTAGTCATTTTTAAAGTTTTTTCTTAATCAAAATAGAAACTTAAAACTAATTTTGTCCAAAGTTATACGAAAAGTATGAATAGCTGATTTTCAAATATCTAGTTTCTCATAACTTTTCAAGTACTGGCTTCATAAATAAGATATAAAAGAAGGAAAGTTACGTCACATTACATAGCCCTCGAAAAAATATTGCAATAAATTTCATCGAAACTTTCTGAAAGTCAGACATTGAGAGCAATAAGTGAGTAGTCCGACCGTGGAATTGGAGGATAGAATGTAGTCTATAGCGGAATCGACCTCTTATAAACTTACTCTAATATGACTGGAGAAAACCATTTCCATAACATGTCAAATATCTGCTTTGGGTAAAAGCTTGCATTTATTAATTAAATTTACAACAAATGGTAAATACAATTTTCCCGGGTGGAGTTGAAGCGGTGGACTAGGTAAACAAGGTTCGCTAGATTTTTTCTTTGTAGTCATTTTCGTACATTTCGGCCGTTATGTCGGTCGTGACAAATAATTCATCAAGTCTGTAACTGTATGATGATATTAGAGAAAGTTGAGCGTCCTTGCGCGACGAGGGAATAATTAATGACAACTAGCATAGATAACTGGACCATAACGGTTAATAATTTGCATCGTGAGGACCTTATCACCTTACCTATTTACTCCAAAAACAATGAATTGTCCAAACATTTACATATCACACAGTATAGTTTGGAACAATGTATATGTATTATTATTAATTCATTGTTGTAAATAATAATACATATTTGGATTTGGGATTTTCGATGTATAAAAATAAGGTCAAATCTTGAAAATTTGAACATAAAAACTACACTAAACACAATCAAAAGAACAACAATACAGTTGTAAAACCCAACATTCACTAATAAAAAAGCACAAAAAAAATTCAGCGCATTTTAGTTGTTCACTATGTTTATGGCCTCTTTTTATGGGTTTTGTTTGATGTTTACATTAAATTTTTCTTTACCGCAGGGCAGTGTGCTCGGACCAATCCTCTACATCCTTTATACTGCAGATATTCCCACTAAACCCCTACCACCCTACTTGCATCCTTCGCCGATGATACAGCTGTACTATCCTCCAATTCCGATCCTGCGGTTGCTTCGGAAGATCTGCAGGAACATATCTCATGTATAGCAGATTGGTGTAGACAATGGAGAATGAAGATAAACGAAAGCAAAAGCGTCCATGTCACATTTACACTCCGAAGCAAACCTCCTCTCACGATATCTACAACAAAGTTCCTATCCCCAAATCCGACTGCGTTCTCTAATTGGGTTCCACCTAGACTCACGACTAACGTGGAATCAACATACACGACTGACACGACAAAGCCTAAACAGACGGTATGGTCTACTGCACAGACTTATAGGACGACAGTCTAAACTATCGACAAAAAACAAACTTACAATTTACAAAACACTACTACAACCGATTTGGACGTACGGAATAGAACTGTGGGGAACCGCTAAACCTTCCAATATCCAACGTCTCAAATCCTTTCAATCTAAAGTCCTCAGATCCATTGTAAATGCTCCTTATTATGTCTCAAATGCTACCCTCCACAACGACCTTCAAATTCCTTATATCCAAAAATTTATTCCCCAAAAATTTACCAAGTTTCACAAAAAACTCTCCCACCATCCAAATAGTCTTGCCCAAGCCCAGTCCGATAGAACCAAGGCGTCTTAAGAGGAAATGGCCCCGCGACCTCCTTTCCGAGTAAACTGTAAAAAAAAACATAAAGTGAAGAGGGAGGATAACATTGATTTTCTCCCCTCAATGTAAATAGTTGTACATAAGTTCATGTATACGCAAATTACATATTGTAAATAATAATTACAGATAGTAATAAAAATAAATAATAATAATAATAAAAAAATTCTTTATTTTTGTGCTTTTTTTATTAGGTTAGGGCTGGGTTTTACAACTTTTGGATTATTGTATTTTTTTTATATAGTTTGTTAATTTATTTTGTCCAATTTTTCTTTGTGGTTTTTCACTATATTCATTGTCTCTTTTTATGTGTTTTGTTTCATTTTTTCTTTTTGTATATTTAAAAAAAGTAATGTTGGAAAATAAATTTTTCCCAGCACAGAAAATTGAATTACAAGATTAACTCCACTCTCCCTTTTCACACGTCACCACTTTTTCGCATTTAGCATAAAATTTCTGCATTTTGGTTCGATGTAATTGAACAAAAGGGTATATCCTAGAAAGCTAATTAAATGAAGAAGTTGTAAAATTTGACAAACTCTACCAAGAATTTTTCCAATGAGGTTGCAAAATTTTTTTTATTAATTTTAAATTTAACAGTTTTTGAAAGATTTACTGTTTGTTTTTTTTTTACTAAAAATTAAATTGAATGTTCTAGAATGGTGCCTTCTTAGAGAAAATTTAACGCGCTTTTCAATGCTTTTTTGGATTTTCCGAAAAATTAATAGTCCATGAGCTAGCTAGATATATGACGAAAAACCGTAGATAGTTGGAAATAATAATAAGGATAATATATTACAATTAGTTAAGTTGGTGTCCGAGTGGATCGAGGTCACGATAGCTCAAGTGGTAGAGCAGCGGCGTATCAAGCCGAAGATCGTGGGTTCGAATCCCGCTCGTGCCATTGACTTTTTTATCTCAACTAAAAACCTTAATTAATTGTAATATATTAATTGATCAAGCGGACAACGAAATTAGTGAATATAATAATAATATGTTGAGTATATGCGAAAGGATTGGGAATGGGACCATGTTTCATACAAATATTTTTATTGTATTTGAAGTGTGAAATTCACCATCAAAGAAGCACGAGTGGTCTGACAACCTGTATAACTAACTTAATTGAAGGGTCAATGGGTTATTCAAGTTCCCGCCATCAGCCTTCTTAACTATACATTCAGGCCAATAAAACATTCACTCTCACGCTATGTACAAAAACTATCAGTCGTATATACAATAAAACAACCATCCTTCCTACAGAAATCCTACGGAACAGGTGACCCAGATACTCGCTGCCGTGCTCATCCACGATTCTCATATCGGGTGGCATTCCTACACGCTCTCCGCATAGACCCCAGGAAATCCCTTCAGTTAGGTGGGACACGTCAAGCAACCTTTCTCTACATGATGGACACATACGCGGGCTTTGGGCCAAAAGTAAGTCTCCGTGTGTCAACCTCGCATGGCGTAATCGGGAGAGGATGACCCTTCTTCCACAAGTCAGATTCTCCGAGTTCACATATCGATTTGGAATGATGGATGTTATTATCATTAACACTTGAAATGCTGTAAGTCTCTTCGGATTACTCTTATGAAATATTACACTGCTCTAAAAACCTTTCAATCATTCCCTGATTTTCCCCGAATGAAAGTAGGGTCAATTATTAATTGGTTATTATTTTTTAGTTTGTTTTACTTCGTAGTGATTGAATCAGTATTAAAAATAAAAGAAGAACGACAAATTTCCGTTTCGAAGCGAATGGATGTAGTAAAATGCCTGTTTATGGTATGCAAATAAATAATAAACCAACTAGATAGTTTTAAAATTTTATGTTCATTAATTAATATAGCAATTTGGAAGATTTTCCACAGTGGACTTATTTGTACGATTTCTTAAAGGTAATAATTTGATGCTGTTTTTTGTACTGCGGCGGTACTAGCATTATTCCTCTCGGGTAGAAATGTGTGTTTCTTAGGGACCTGTTGTTTCATAATTTGTTGAAGTCGTGAGGAGCGGTCAAAAATGAGGTAGTTTAGAAAAACACCTTTTTCTTTTTTTACCGACGTTTCGACTTTTATTCGGGTCATCTTCAGGTCCTGGGTAAATTAAAAAAGATATGTTGATTGGAAAAAATACAATTTAAGACGTAAAATTGTATTTTTTCCAATCAACATATGTTTTGTAATTTACCCAAGCCCTGAAGATGACCCGAATAAAGGTCGAAACGTCGGCAAAAAAGAAAAAGGTGTTTTTTTTTAACTACCTCATTCTTGACCTCTCCTCACGACTTCAACAAATTACTAGCCTCGTTGTTGTTGTTTATCACAGACCGGAAACGCGCCGTGGGCCACAAATTGCAGAGAAAATAGAACTGTTGTCCTTTGGTTACAACATTGGATTGTTTGATATTTAATAGTTATAAACACAATGTTCTTATAATTTTCAATGCTGCACTTAAAATTTAATCCCACGCACTTTGAGATTTAGCAACATTCCTAACCGCCGGAGGTCAATGGCCACAAGCCAAAAACTGATGAAAAGTCAATGGCACCCCATTTCTTAACCGAGGAAAACGCCGACAACAAAATATATTAAAATAATTTCCTCTTAGGTTTTACTCCACTTTTTTCCTGAATAATAAATTTTACGATTAACATTCATTAAAAATAAAACCGTCTATTTTTATATCAATTTAATATTATAATTTTTTTATTAACTGATTAAAAATAAAACAGTTTATTTTTAATATCAATTTAAATATTTCTTAGTATATAACCTTGGTCCTAATAATAATTCAACCTCCTTTTAAATTTGATAAACTATATGGGGGTGTTCCTTCACTTACAGAATTGTACATACTGTGTCGTGTACATGTGTGAATTTAAATTAATTCTATTTAAGTTAATATGTGTTTATATGGGTATATTTAATCAATTATATGTGTATATAATTTGTAAGTAATGCTTTTCAGTTTACAAAGTAAAATATTGGGGGTGTCAATGGCTGCAACGTTTTAGGCATTGACCACGCCCATCACTGTAAGGCAAAGGTCCCAGGTTCGAATCCTCAAATCCAGTGCCCATGAATTTGAACCCGCAAACTTACAAACAAGCTTTTTTCTTTTTTTCAAAAACACCAGCACTCTGCGGGTTCATATAACCTAGTAGTTGAAATATCCACTTAAAAAAAAAAAAAAGTAGTGCATTTTGAAAATGAAAGAATACAATATTGTGCATTTTGGAGGATAAATATTATTGAGCTGTAAAAAAAAATTGGCGAAACATGCAGGATTTAATGATAAATGTTGTGTACTTAGCGGTAGCTGTGGTCATAGTTAATTAGGCCCTGAAGCATATCAAATGTAAGTAAATTTTATATTCAGCCTGGTCCATTGTACATTGTCATTATCCATAAAATTATTGTTGTTTTATACAAATTTCATCACAATTACGAATAATATATCATATAAAAGTTTTTTATTAACAATTATTTTTATTTTTTCTTTGTGTTTGCTGTCCTTTTTTATGGATTGTTTAATTTTTGTTAGCTTTGTAATTTTTTTTTAATAATAAAATTATCTCATTTTTGTTATTTTTAGGACGTTTGCTTGAAATAATTCTTCAACTGTACAATTCTTTAAAATATCTCAAGGAAAAGGAAGAAATATCTAAAATTAGATATTTACTGTTAAATAATAAGTAATGCATTTACTTTTTATTAAAAAAAAAAAAAAAGAAGTAATAGAATTGAAAAATGTTTGGTAGAAGAACTTTAGGAAAAGCAATTGTTAGAACAATATATTAGAAAACAAATTATGAAATTTTATTTTGAAAGAAAGGTACAATTAATTGAATAAAACAAAACAATATAAAAATAAAAGGCACATAAATGCTGAATTTAATATAATAAAATTTAAACAAACAAATAATTAACATTTTTGTCATTTTTAGGCACAACAAGTAGCTATAAAAAGACTGTCTGGTCCCAGTTTTTATTTTATAAAATATCCAATACAAGTTTAGTTTTTAATCAAAAGAAACAACAACAATATTGTACAAAATATGAATGTTCTGTAAGGAATGTGTAAAAAAAAAAATATTTTTTTAATTTCTGTTTTGTGGCACATTTTTACCGTTGATCACACAGGCCTGATATAGGTTTATTCCACAGTAACAGATTTGGCCAAGTTACGGGGACAGTCGACGTTACAGCCTCTCAGCACGGCAAGGTGGAAAGAGAGCAGTTGCATTGGAATTACAGTTAGTATCCCCTGTAATATTTTTTAAGAATTTCACTTACATTTAATACGAAGTTTTAATTATTATTATTTAATGAAGCATACCTGAAGGCAATCGACAGTGTGTGGTACTTCAATTATTCGAGAAGCGAAACTCTGGGTTTCCGTATCTCCTTTTTCACAGATCACAATTGGCCTACCATCTCTGGCCGTGATTTGTTGAAGTGCATTCATACATTTCTAAAATTAAATATTAAAAATGATTAAAATATAGAAAAACTTATTTCCTAAATTAAGTAATTTCTGAAAAAAGTTTGTCAATAATTAAGAACAAGGTCTGTCTGGTTACAGCTTTAAACATTAATATAATCAAAAATGAGCCCTATAATTTAATTTACCTGATAAACAGGGTCTCGTGTAACAATGAGAATGATGGGCATATCTTTGTCAACAAGCGCCAGAGGTCCATGCTTGAGTTCTCCTGCCAGAATACCTTCGCTATGCATGTAAGTCAATTCTTTGACTTTCTAAAAATAGAATAAACATTATTAATACATAAAAACTGTTTAAAATCAAAAGAGAAACATACTAAAGCTCCTTCCATGCAAGTGGCAAAATTGTATCCTCTGCCCATTATGAGAAGACTCTTGTGCTGGTATAAGTCTTTAGCGAGTGTTTGGATTAGCTCATCAACTTTAAGAACTTCTTTGATTTGTTCATGCAAGTTCTCCAATCCTTTGATGATCTAGAATATAATTATATTAGTTAAAATATAAAAACTGAATAAAAAATAACTAACCTCAGCTCTCCTAGGCTGAAGGGAAATCCTGTCTTCAGACATCACCAATGCAAACATAACAAGCGAAATAAACTGTGATGTGTATGCTTTAGTTGAAGCAACACCGATCTCAGGGCCAGCATTAATATGAATGCCGCAATGGGATTCTCGACAAATGGAGCTTCCTACTGTATTGGTTACCCCGATAATCAATGCACCCCTCTGCTTACAATATCTTAGAGCCATTAAAGAGTCGGCAGTTTCACCTAAAAGTATTTCAAACTGTAGAAAGAATTTCAAATATTTTTTATACTTCATAAATACCTGACTGGGAAATAAAAAAGCAAACATCATCCCTAAAAACAGGTGTGTTCCTATCAAGGAAATCAGAAGCTAGATCAACCATAACAGGCAGCTCGGTTAGCTCTTCAAGGAGCTGTCTAGTTGCCACAGCAGAGTGGTAAGACGTGCCACAACCAATCAACATCAATCGACGGCATCTTCTTATTTCAGGAATGTATTCCTAGCAAGAGAAAATCAAGTTTTATTGGAATGGTAAATTGTTCTGTAAAAAGTTCTTCGACAAAATAAAAACACATTTGGATTATTAGCCTCCTTACACCCAGACTACAATAATTATTTTAAATATTAAAAAAAAAAGTATTGCATTCTTTCAAATATTTGTGGTACATTTTATTTCAAATTTGAACATTTTATAAAATAATTTGTTGACATGTTGGCTCCTCTTAGCTGTAAGATGAGGTTTTTTAAAACTACTTAATTTTAAAGCTACTTTGAAAAACATTAGTGAAATCTGCAAAACGATTTAGCTAGCTTGAGCATCGCTTACAATCCTGGTCTATTCTTCCTAGTTTTGTCTGCTAGACAGTTTTCGCTTTTCACCTTCTTCAGAGATTATGTTTATCAATTCTGTCCTTTTTTTCCTTTTTTTTCAATTTTGAGAAGAAAAGGCAAAATTAGTATAAAATATACAGACACAGATGATTGGGAAGAGATTAAGCTTAATTTTGTCCAAATCTTCCTAAATTTGTATAATATTTTTTTCCATCCAGCTCCATTTAGACTTGTTTATTTCTCAAAAAAGCAATAAGAGTTTCCAAACTATTATTTTGATAGTATATATTTTTAAAAATTCAATAATTCTAAAATCTTCTGTTTTGTTGTTTTTATAAATGAATAATGTAATACTATGTTACAATACATATATTAAAAAAAGGGACAGCGTTACAAAGTGTTTATTGAAAAGTGGTCAGGAAACAAACAATTCACATGGCCATACTTTGATTCCTCCGAGGACAATGTTCTGAGTTTCGAAGTTAACTCTTCCTCTCATTGTGTTCACAACAGATTCTGGCTGTTCGAAAATTTCCTTTTGCATGAAATAGCTGTAATTTCCTGGAAAAAACCAAAATCAAAAATACAAATGTAAAAATTTATAAGCTTTAATAATTAATTAGTAAGATTTAATTATTTTTGTTTAACCTTTCATGATCTGTTGAATTTCCATCTTAATAGTTGTGATTTCACGTGCATGTGGATCGTCTAAGGACCTGCGAAGTCGATGGATACTGAGCAGGCCCTCTTTAACTGCAGCCACATCATCGTCCTGGGGGGGAAAAATAGTTTGAAACAATAAAACAAAAATGAAATATGTAATATCCGTACGCTTATGAAAAATTACACCGAGGAACCCAAAGATAAAACCAACATAAAGAGCTGCTTTAAATGTCTGACGCATTTTTCTAAAGGGGAGTTTGTAAAAATAGAAATGTTATGTTCTAGCAATGTTTTGTTAAAGGCTTATCATGTGATTATGATGTACTATACAATCATCTTTTTTTTAAAGATTGCTTTTATTTCATACAATTTAATAATTACAAAACATAAGAGATAAAACAAACATTTTGCAAAGCTCGAATTTATAAAATTAGAAATTTACTTCTGTCAATCAGGTAATCACATATCAATAAAACTCATTTTAAAAATGTTTCAAAAAATCCAAACTGCCTTTCAAAAGTTAAATTGAAGCTAGAATGTTTTTTTTTTTCTGTTACATACCCAATCAATTGAGCTTTCTTAACAGCCAGCTAACAACTGCTAATGTCACAACGACATAAACAACATTTGTAACCATATCTCGCATTTTTTAGCATGCAGAATGAAAGAATTAAGGAAGAAAAAAATGAAGTTTAAAACTGAACAATTTAAATTGCAAAAAATTTTACATATGCTTCTTTTGTATTACCTTGTGTTAAAATAAGAACTTCAAACGTATATTCAACACAAATCCTGGCAAAAAATGCACTTATTTGATAGATTAAACTAATTGAAAACTAAAACAATTTTCATTATATCAAGAAACAAAATCTGTAAATAATCATCATGCCAATGAAAATTTGTGTAGACACTGTCTTTCAAACAGAATATCATAAATCTAATATTTTTCTCTCCAAAAGTATACTTTCTTATTCCTTTATCAAGGTGTTAATTTTAAAACAAAGTATTTGAATAGGAATAGTGAATGATGGAGTGAGTGCGGTGTTCAATGCTTTTTAAAAAAGATAGTTCCTATTCACAGAAAGTTGTTTTCCAACTTCATTCGTTCTTATAGGTTTGCTATCCTTGTGAATTTTGACTGTACCGTATAACATTGGAGGTTTTGGGTTCATTGGTATTAGTTTTTTAACTGCATATTGGTCATCTGAGAATAAAAAATTACTATTTTTCAAAATGCACAAGAAAAACAAACCTATAAAACTAGTAGTGTCCTTTTATAATTCCCCGTGCCATAAACTTGCACGTACAATGGACAAAATAATTAAAAATCACACTAATTTCAAACCTAAATTCGGTATAACAATTCTTTAGAATTGTTAAAAGAATTAGATAACATCAATATACCCAACAAGTGTGTTTTAGTATCATTTGACTTTACTAATTTATTCACAAATATCCTCATTGAAGAATGTACTAAACTCATAAAGCAAAAACTTACCGAGAATTCTATTAACGAATTTGTAAAAAATGATATAATAGACCTCTTCAATATATGCCTACTATCTAATTATTGTAAATTCAATAATAAATTTTACAAAATGAAAGGGTTACCAATGGGGTTTCCATTATCCCCACTTTGCGCCAAAATATTCTTGGATAATTTTGAAAAAAATGTTTTCAAATCAAAGAACAAATTAAATCTGTTCATTTTTGGAAAAGCTACGTAGACAATATTTTATACATTTAGTCGGAAACATTAGAGGATCTCAAAGAATCCCTCCAACTAATTAATTCTCTACACCATAATATAAATTTTACATTGGAAATTGGCAAAGATGGTTGTTTGAACTTTTTAGACCTAAAACTATCCATAATAAACAACCTAGTTGAAATAGATGTATATAGAAAACCCACAACTACAGACATTATGATACCAGCGGATTCTTCCCACCCATGGTCCCAAAAGGCTGCTAGTTTCATTTGGCTCATAGACCGTATGTTAAAACTTCCATTAACACCTGATAACTATAAAAAAGAATTAGAAACTATTAAAACCTTAGCAAAAAACAATGGATATCTAGAAATATTTATTGATAGGTTGCTAGTTAAAAGAATACAAAAATTAACTTTAAAAGAATCAACAATAGGACCCAGCCACCCCACCATAAATGAATCATTAGGTTTCCGTTGTTTGCCATACATTGGTGAATTATCGGAAAACGTTAGTACAATTTTTAAACAAGAAGGTTTTAGAATAGCTTTTAGAAGTACGGGTTCGCTTAAAAACATCCTCTCAAAACCTAAATACAAGGTAGACATCTTGGCAAAAAGCGGGGTTTACCAACTTAATTGTAATGATTGTGATATTAAATATAAAGGAAAAAGCAGCAGAGAAATAAAAACGAGAGGAAAAGAACGCTTGCCTAAATCGAACAAATTTTCGGAATTTAAGGACCATCTAAAAGAAACAAAACATAATTTCAATCCAAATTTAAATACAATAGTACAAAGTTTCAACAAAGGGAGAGAACTAGATTGGTTTGAGAAATTTGAAATTAAAAAATGTAAAATTGAACATGGAGACAAATGCATTAATAATATAATAGATTTTGATCTACCTCCCATTTTAAATATGTACAGAAATAATATTAAACGTCCAAACAATTAATTATTTTAATTGTTATTATTTTTATAATAATTTAATAATATTAAGGTATTTTTCTAATTTTTTATCTTTTATCTTTAATCATTAATTTATAATTAATTTCTTACAGTATTTACCATTATAATATTTACTTGTGTTATTCTGCTTTTCACACGTTCAAATTGAGCGCCATTAACAAACCAGCTTCTCATTGCATTATTTTGCAATTCATGTGGAGAGTCGTGATTGTAGAAATCCTTCAGTCTGATGATGAGCTAATGGCTCGAAATCCGGATCGTTGGAAAAACAACTTAATGTGAGTAGGAACTATCTTTTTTTTTAAAGTAAAGTAAAAAAATGAAGTAAAAGTAAAAAGTATTTGAAAGTTGAAAACTTGCAGCTAGGACTGGATGGTGGTAATGAATGCCGAGAAATTTGAGAAATTTCTCTATTGTCATATTCACCTTGTGCCTTGACACCTAACTTTTAAAATGAAACTTAACTTACCCCCAATTCATAAAGTGTAAGTTTTGTAGGAGTAAGAAGTTGACAAAGCGACTATACACCACCTGGCTGTCCCAATTCAAATTTAAAACAGAGTGCGAAGTCACCTTGGAAAGTGATTGAAACTAACCCTCTCTCCAACAAGACTTTTGTATTTATCACTAATTCTGGATTAACTCCCGAAAAAAATGAGGTTCCGCTGCGAACTCTTATTTGAAACCAGACATTACAAAATCAGGTACTGAGATTAATCAAGGATGGGCATCCCACCTACAGACAGTGTACTACAAAATACACACATCAGTCGATGCTCTAACCATCTCCTCATTGAACTAATGAACACTGCACTATCTCCACCTCAAGAATGTCGACTGAAAAGACAAATAAAGAAAGATGGATCCAGATGATGGACTGATCTGGTTCCATCTCTGCTTTATAAAAATTGTAGTGGGTCGATATTATTATTTAATAATATGAAAAGAAAAAGGCAACAAAACTTCCTGAACTATCATTAACGTTTTGATTGGACAACCAATGGGAGGTAAACTAACAATAATTTAATAATAATAACCGTATTATTTAGTGTATGTATGTTTGTGCAAATTTTTTTGGGGTTTGTCAAAAATATTTACTTTTTTTTAAATAAAAAGTAAATACATTACTTATTTACATTTATTTTTTTAACAATAAATATATAATTTTAGATATTTTTTAGACCTTTTCCTTGAAGATATTTTAAAGAATTGTTGAAGACTTATTTAAAGCAAAAGGCCTAGATATAACAAAAATGAGATAATTTTATTATTAAAAAAATTACAATTGAGCTAACAAATATTAAACAATCTATAAAAAAGGACAGCAAACACAAAGAAAAAATAAAATAAAATTGTTAAAAATATGAACTTTACAATATTTATATATGAATAAAATAATATATTTTATATTATATATGAATAATATAATGTTATATTATTCAAAAATCTGATGGAATTTGTATAAAACAACAATTATTTTATGGGAAATGACAAAGTTGGACATTTTTTATGTTCCAATGTATAATGGATCGGGACGAATATTAAAATTTACTTACATTTGATGTGCTTCAGGGCCCAACTAACTACAACCACAGCTACAGCTATGTACACAACATTTCTCATTAAATCCTTCATGTTTTGCCAATTTTTTTACAGCTCAAAAATATTTATCCTCCAAAATGCACAATATTGTACCATATGATTGTTAATTATTTAACCAACTTACACATTTATGTAAAATTGAAGGTCTGTATCTGCTACATATTTCTTATATCGAGTTTTTGCATTGATTCTTAAACATTCCTCAATGTCCACCTTACCACAGCAAGTGTTAATATCACGTAAACGAATGTCTTTACCATATCCCGCATTTTAAATGTTTTATAAATAGTGTTCAGTGTTATCATATGTTTTGTTTCTATTTTATAAAAAAACCTACCTCAAGGAATATCACACGATTTGTATGTTCAATGACAGCAGAGGCATCAGAAGCAAAGAAGTATTCAACTTCTTTTTCCTCAAGGGGTTGAAACTCCGAGGTTGATTCCGACCTCGGCAAAAGTGGAAGTTCACGTCCATGGGGTCTATGATCTAGACAAAAACCAAACTAATTAAAAAGATTTTCCTCTCATTTTAGAAGATTTTGTTGAAACTGTTATTATTATAATCAAAATTAGACGTTTTAAGTGCTGCCCACCACCGCAATAGCGTGAGAAAATAGAAAAGTAATCCTGAAAATTGTTATTTATACAAATAATTATTAAATGATATGACACATATTTTCTCCCATTTTTTTTGTTATGCTTAAGCACAATTATTTCCTTTCCTTTTTCTGTAAAATTACCTGAATGGTTGTGGACGTCGTCTTCATACAGCGTTTTGAAACCGATCAATGAATTTTGGCAAAAACAGAATCAAGAACAAAAAGAACTACATAAGAAAAACAAAGTAACGGAACATAAAAACAAGAACAACAAAAAGGCATGCAAATACACAAAAAGAAAAAAGAGCATATATTACCTTTTACATTGAAGAAAAAGTTATATATAGATAAATTAGTTTAAAATAGAATAATATAGTAAGTTTCAACACAATTAAAATAGAATAAGAAATTAGAAGATTCTTTTCCTTATAAGAAAAAATATTAATTGTAATACCTGTAGCAACATTATCTTCTGAAGGGTTGACAGGATGTCATGCAAACAAACACATAGGTGAGAGAAATATAAAAATAAACAAAAGAAAATAAAACAAATAAAATGTTAGTTAACAGAAAATAATAAGAGACCAACATACATGCAAACAATGAAAGACATGCAAAATATACAAATATGGATGAAATCAGAGGAGAAAAATGAGATAAAATGTATTACTATTAGCAATAAGAACAAAATGGATATAAATTCATTTTAATTTTTACATTTTTTACGCCTGTTTTATTTCTCTAGTACAGTACTACCATTATGTAGTTATTAAATTTAATGATGGATTTTATAAATAAATGGAACTAATTTTTATGTAATTCTGCCTTGCCTGCAATGCACAATGAAAGATTTTATATAAACTTTAAACTGACCGAATGTTGAAAAAATGAACAATTTATAAAAACATTAATTTTTATTCCTATTGGTTTTATTTTAAAAATTGGCCAATGGAATAGAACATGCATTTGGTTTTTATTGTTCATGCACAATAGATGCTCCATTTGAGGTTAAATTTTATTTATTATTATTATTATTATTACAAACTTTCAAACTATACATTCCATTCGACTAGATTTCCAAATGTTAAACATTCATGGCTAAATAGTTTCCAAATAATGTAAATCAAGTGTTTTTTTAAATTGTATTTCAGGATTTCATAGTATAACGTGTTAAAAAAAAACAAAAAAACAATCTATTTACAGGAGAGTTTTTACAAATTCTATTGCATGGTACTTGTAATTGAAAAATCCTTTACCAACCTTATAATATCCAACCTCACCTTGAAGTTGAATTTTACGACACGATTAACCCCTAAAGATTGACTGAATCGGATGAAATATGATAATGAAATGAATCATGATGAAATATAATTTAGTGTAATATACCTTTGCTGTAAAGAATGGGTACATGGTCAGTGGCAAGTCTGGTTTTAGTTTTGATTCCAACTAAAAGCGGGCTTCCTCTCCTCGTCGCTACACACTCCCCAGGGAAATGCTTGCTTTTGAAGCAAAGTGCAAAAGCACCTTCCTAAAAACAACTAACTTTGAAACAAATGAACATTATTATTTTTATTTAATGAAATAACTTCTTACAAGCTGACTGATTGCCTGTTCGACGATCTCACGGAAAGAGTAGTTCTGGTGCTGAGAGTAAATATGGTGTACAAGTTTGGCGATTATTTCTGTGTCGGTGTCGGATTCAAAGGTGTAGCCCTTTTTAGAGAGAAAAACCTTTATGTCCTTGTAATTGGTGACAATTCCGTTGTGGACAACAACAAAAGATTGCGCATCGTCTGATCTTTGTGGATGAGCATTGAGCTCACATGGTACTCCGTGAGTTGCCCAACGAGTGTGGGCAATCCCAACATGAGTTTCGGCCAGTCCATCGAAATTGAGACTGTCTTCACCTGTAACAACCAAACAAATAGAATTAACGTTGAAAATTTATGATTAAAGCGTGAATTAATCGTGAAATACTTACGAGAAAGGATCTCATCTTCTAAAGCCTTGACTTTTCCTGTTTTTTTAATAATGCTAATTTCCTTTCCACTCGAATTGTCAATTGCAACTCCTAAGAAGCAACAATTTAAGAAAACAAATTTCATTTTATATGTTTGTCTATGTTATATTGTTAATGATATTATCTTGTGTATGTGCGTGTGGGAATTGAATAAAATAAATAAAATAAAAATTAAATAAAACCTGCAGAATCATATCCTCGGTATTCAAGCCTCTTGAGACCGTTGACAAGGAGCTCAAGAATTTCCTTCCTGGACTTGGGCGTCAAGTAGTTAAGATAGGCAAAAATTCCTGTAATAACAATGTTATTAATTTCTGTACTTGTATATTAAAAATAAATAATCATAATTTCCTGGAGGATTGAAAATTTTTAATTTCCTGTAGGCAGTGTAACGGTAAAAATAAATGAAACAAAAGTACACCTTCAAGGTTAAGATCAGGTTTGCCAAGTGACCTTTACAATGAATATCACAGTCATTTTCGAATATAACAATTTGAAGTTGCTTTTAGGCAAAACTCAAAGAAATCAAATTACAGCTAAATTTTGTTGTGCACGTGTGTGTATGTGATGGGTTCTTTTTCTTAAATCGATATTTATAATTTAAAAAAAAAGGAATCAAATAGCAAAACTGTAAAATCTTTTTCCTCATATTATTAGTCTTCATAAACTTTAATTCATAGTCTTCAGTCTATTTTTCAATAATCAACAATAGGGATGCATCTTTTCTTTTGCTATTGTTCGTTTTATAATTGACTCTCTATAATTTAACTCTTTTGTCTGTAAATGAAAGGAGCTGGTGGGCATGGGCAGAAAATAACCTTTGGTACTTTTTCTTCATGAGAGTAATAGTGCATCACCTTGTGATGCTTTTTGGCACTTGAAGAGTTTCAGGTTCATGTACATGTTTACAAATTGACATGGCTATCTTTTTGAAACATAGACTTTCAAATTAAGATTTATTTTTTCAATTATGAGATATTTTGTTCAGACCTGCAAGTCAAACCAGCTTGAAAAGGTAGAAAATAGCGGATTTTTGATAAAGTAAAAAAAAAAACATGCAATTCATAAAGCCTGGTTTCAGAGATATTAACGCTATTTTGTCAATTGTATAAGCATAGTTTTTTTTGGACAAATATTGATTGCAATTTAAAAGCATTTTTTTTTTTATTGATCGCACTTTCTCCATTCCAAGACATTTTAAAACTAATCTAAAAATCAAACATTGTGCTTTATTTTTAACCGGCCCAGGGGCACTTATTGGATCTGTCTCCACTTGCAGGTTTTTGAGTTATTCAAATGCCTGTCGGCATCTTCAGTGAGGAACAGCGAGTGGAGACAGAGTCTCACAGACCAAAATGCATCAACTATTATAACGTTTTGTATCTTTTTAGGATCACAAAGACAAAAAAAATATTTCGAATATTTGTAAGTGATAAAGAATTAATGTGCAAAAGGTCAATAAGCTTTCTTAGAAGTACTTTTAATCAAATTATAAAATTAATCACTAACCCTTCTTGGTATTGTACTTACAATTAGCTTTTTAGCAAAAAAAAGTTAAGAACATGATATCAGACATTGATGGTGTAATCACGATCAAAGCTACTAATTCAGTTATGGACAACATGCTAACATCATAGTTTTGTTGGTAAGATATTGTATAATGGAAGTCCTATTTTTAGAAAATTAAATCAAATTTTCTTGATAAATTATTAAATTTAGACACTAACAATGGAAAAATTGGGCTGGAAACTGAACTAACTTTTTTGTAATATCCTCAATTTTTTCGGGTCCTTCATTCACATGAGATGTCCTCTTTCAATTCTTCAATAAGTAAATTCACTGGTTTAATAAAGGATAAGAAGTAAGATTTATACCTTAGTGAGGTAAGTTGGTTAAATATTCATTCTGTAAGGGTGATTAATTTTATATTATAAACAATAATTAAGGGGACGTCGGTGGCAGCAATGGTTGACAAGGCAATCATCACGGTAACGTAAAGGTCCCGGGTTCGAATGCAGGGCCGCTGGCTTACTTGCTCAGATGATTTTGAAAAAAAAAAACATTTGTAAGTATGAGCCGTTGCGTTCCCGCCACCGCTGTCATTTCTTTACATGAAAAGTCCCTGCTGCGCGTAACTTTAGCCATTTAAACCTTATAATACACCGAGTAAGATTTTCGAAAACAATAACAATTTACTTGAAGAGAAACAAACTTAACAAATCCAAGTTTTCGAACAGAAAGAAACTACCAAATCCACCCTTTCCAAAGAAGAGTCAAGTTTAGAAAATCTAAGCCGTGAATCTTTGTCGTTAAGATTTTTTCCGGTAATTGAATGGAAAGCAGGTGTGGCCGGACGCCCAGAAGACTTCGAAGAGAAAGACTCAATTATTGTAGAAAGGAAGGTCGTCTGTAGTAATAGGAAGCTAACGGTAATACAAGGCGTGGATCAATCCTACTCAACCGATAACCTTCAGGAATAAATTTAATTTCCGTCTGTGTTGAAAATACACGATATTACATCTTAAAAAGCAATTCTGACCAAATATGAAAGTGTTTTATATGAACTTTCATTTTTTCTCCAGTACGTGCACTTACAAGAAATTTCTTTAAAAATTGGATGTGAGCTTAAAGTCAATCACTAAAATGAAACTTCATAAAAGTGACAGTTGAACAACGTTGCCCTTAGTAGAGTGAACATATGGCCAACTCTGGTCCGCCAGGCTTCGCTTTAGATCGCGCTCAACTTGCCACCGGTCCATCGCAGTGTCACATGCAACATTCATTTTGTTTAAGCTTTGTGGCGATTAAATATAATACATTTATAAAGATATATTGGCAAATGCCAGCACCAGATAGTAGGAAAGCACAAAGTCATCTTCATTGCTTCCAACCTATTACAAATACACCAGTTTGTACACTGAGAGGGGAAAAAGTGACCACCCTCGTTTTTTTAAGTAAATAGTTAAAATTTTTATTGTTTACTGGATATTTAAAAAAATATCAGCTCTAGCTAAATAAAAGATAAGTTGAGTCAAACAATTTTACCAAAAATGTTGCTAAGGAAATAATAAAGAAAATATTCCAATCAGTACGAAGTATTTCCTCCTCTTGCGTTGATCATCGCTTGAATTGGAAGTGGCATCGATTTTGTGAAGTTTTGAATGTGCTGTGGCATATTTTCATATTCTTCAAACAGTGCCATTCTTAATTCCTGCAAATTCTCTGGCATCACTTGGCGACATTTTACCACGTTTGACAACTCGTCCTATAGGTACTACTCTAAATCGGGACTAAATGCTGTCCACTCACAAACATCGAATGAAGCCCTTCCAAGTCACCAATGGCCCTAGCATTCACGCATAAAAAATAAAAAGGGTCGCCAATTAGTGGCATATAAGGAACTTCTTCTAATAACATCTTCAATATATCGCGCAACTGGTAGGGAACTTCGATGAAGATAAAGTTTGTGCGACATTTCATAGAAAAGCCTGCTCGAACTGTAACACCATCACCTCCAAAACTTTTCCGAGGTGAAAATTTTGCAGATATGTTTCTCTCCTGTTTTTTTCCAAACCCTCTCTCGGCGGTCATAAGACCTCAACAAACAAGATTTCAGCTCAATCATGTTCAGACCAATTGATGTGATTTCTTGCGAAATTAACTAAGCTGTTCATGGCTTTGTCAGAAGTTCTGGACCGGTGGCAGGCCTCGCACGTGATCCACCTGCTGAAAGCCTTCGCCTTCCAGCGCGTACACTGACATTAACATTTCTAACTTGTTCAAGTCCTTGTTTTAACTCAACAGCGGAAGAATGTCGATTGTGGAGTGCACTCGAAACAATAAAATGATCATCCTTCTCTGAGATGTGACACGATGGCGACCTGAACCATGCCTTCTTGAGTAACCTCCGGTCTCTTGGTAGCGATGGAAGACTGTTCTGGGAATGCTACTTCTTCCATCTACCAACAATGCTATGATTCTCGCCGAATCTGTGTCACATAAACAAATTTGAAACTTAAAAATGGTGGAAATTAAAAAAAAAAATCAAACTTCAGGAACGTAGCTTTACAGAAAAACCAACAAAGAACAGATTGACTACTCAAATATTTATTTACAAAATCCAATCGTAAACACAATTGGGACATTCTATGTGTGGTTAAATTATTTGTAATCCTTTAAAACGGACCAAATATTGTTGTAAGATAACCAATGGAGGATTGTCTAAGAGATAATTAAAAATATTAAGGGTAGCCACTTTTTTGTCATTGTATATACATTAATTATTTGTTAGTAAATTTAATTAAAAACTAGCATCCAATTATTAAGTTTTTGTGGCAATGATGCGAATACAAAATAAGATAAAAAATAATAAGGGTCAACGTCAGGAGAAGTCCAAAAAGTATTGGCATATTAGAAACTTTTTTGAAGCCAAATTTTATTTACACTTTAATATTTTGTTAGCACGTCTGAAGTATGCGCAAAACCGAGGATATAAATTTGTGGGCTATTTCAGGTCCATTCTCGTAATAAAACAGTATGTAGCTGATGTTTTGAAAAACAATTTTTTTTCGTACCTTCAGGTCCAGCAAGTAGTACAGATGCCCTAGGTGGAAGATAAATACACCCCTGATCTTTTCATCATTACTGTTCAAATTATGCAAAAATGTCAACATATTTGATGAAACTTAGGTTTCGACACCATTCCACGACATGCAGACTCTGACTAAAACCACCACCGTTCCACTGTTGCCCTGACATTACTATTATAAAATGCAATATTTGCTTTTCTCAATACTTATTTGCGACTGTCAGAGTCGAAAATGTCATACCTGCTTTCAGCTGAAAACATGTTCTTGTAAAATTTTAACTTTATTTATGTAGGTTTTTGCGATCGTCCTCACTGATAAATGGTTTCTTACTTTGAACTCTACCGTAATAATTAAACCTGTCAATTACATTTCTTACTCCTGCACGCTAAAAGTTGCCCTAGAAGTTGTCGCAACCTCTGAACTTATACTAGAGGTCCTTTTGTCACTATTTTATGAATGTTCCTTTTTTTCTTTAAGAAAACTCTTGTGGCCAACCAGAACCCGTCTCATGATCTTTACGATGTTTCTAAACCGAGATGAAACTCATATCTAGTCGATTTGCAATTTCACGAGAACGCAATTTAACGACACGAATGCGTAATGACACACAATGCTCTCGTATTTTAGCCATTTTTTATTACCGCTGGACCGGTTAGAAAATCATTTAGAATAACGATTTTCATTCTTTTTTGGGTTTATTTCAGCCTGAAAGGTTGAAAAATTAAGGATAACCCAGGAATTAAGCAACAAATAACGTACCAATATTTCCTGACCCTTGAAATTCATAATCTTATTTATATATTTTTTAAATCTTATTTTTAATTCACTCGATTTATCGCCATAAAAAATTAATAGTTGGATGCTAGTTTTTAAATAGATTTGTTATCGAACAACTATTATATTTTTAAGATTTAAGAAAAAACTGGGTTTCCAATAATTTTTTGACCCACAGTAGCATTATCTACGTTTATTTTGTTACTGTGGGAAATTTTTGGTACTAATTCGATTTCAAAATTGCTGGAAATTTCATGTTCATAAATTACTAATATATTATTGCCTACTCAGGTTTGCCCCTTTTGGGTGAAAGATCACCGGAAACAGTGCAAATCACGTCGAAAGACTGGAAGCAATTTCAGTTACCCTCAGTTATCCTGTATTCTATAATAAATTCTGGGATTCAAATTAAACTGCTTATTTTTAGGTATTTCGACTTAATTATCCTCTCATTAGTAAAAACTAAGCAGTATTATAACAAATAAAACATTCTGACGAAACCAAACTAGAATTTGATTTGTTGAGGATTTCATAGCAGCTTTATGAATAAATCAAAAGAGAAAGAAGAAAATATCTTAGCGAAATAGTAGATACAAGATGACACTTTTTTTCAATCAAAGACCAATCCTTTAGAAGGTTTAAATCACATATTGAATATAACCTATACAATTTTCTTTTTAATCGTTATAAAACAACATCATCGAAGTACAAAGTATTACGGAAACAAGAACACAACATAAAAACCATGTCGAGACATCCGGGCAACCTTCAACTTGCTTGTCTGCCAATTGTGCAACGAAGTAAAAGTAAAAGTGAGCAGACATAAAAACGATTTGCAAAATTGTTAGGTAAGCTCTGTTTCCGAAAAATTAAAAAAAGGATAAAGGCTGCCCTGTATTAGAGATGGGAAAGGTCCTTAATGAATTTCGGCCATTTCGGAAAAGGAAACGAGAACGATTGCGTTTCCTAGTATGTAAGATAAAAAGCAAACAGTTTATCACAAATCCACAATCCTTTCTGTCTGAACATGAAGTTGAATAATATGCAAAAAAAAAAATTAACTGAATTTTCAGTGAATAAGATTGAAAACCGAAATCGAAACTTCAACTGATTAAAAAATGCTAACAGGTGATCTTCAAATAGAAGTTTACGAAATGTATGTCAGATAAGACTTGCAAGACTAAAATTTCGAATCGAGCATTGCATTCTATTGAGCGAATAACGATAATGCAACAGTGTTGCAAACTTGGTCCAACTTTCACCTATCTAAGGTCTCGCCGATGCATTTAAACATTAAATTTTTTTTTTATATCTGAAGGTTTTGTTGTCTGTGTTTTTAAACAAGGGCGTTAACTCCTAAAGAGAGTAACATTGCATTGTTGATTATGTTTTTAAATTCACGTTTATTGTATTTTTTAAATTTCGTCAAAATTTTAAAAAATTGATACACCATTTGAACCAAAGCACGGTCCGATCTCACAGTTGAACTGAATAAAAATAATAAGAAAATGTAACCATTATGTTGTCTGGAGAATTTCATGATTTTAAAAATTTGATGGTTTAAAAATTTTCTTTAGAGCCACGTCGATTCTTACTGATTGTTTATAATATCCGTTGATTATTTCTATCCACAATGAGATAAAGCTATTTTTCTTAGAAATAACAGCCCAGTTTTTTGATTGCGATTTGTCCAACAGTCAATACGAAAAATACAATTCTTGATATTAATAGAACCAGGAAACCTTTGGACAACTTTCACTTTTTCTCCTTTTAAAACAGGGTCAAATTGACTTCCTACCTTTGGATAATAATTATTATAAAACTTTGAGTTATTTACATGGCTTTTCTTTTAACGTTTTATTTTATGTTTTATCTCACGCCTGGTCAGATTTTTATTGGAAACGTTAGCAATTCCTAATCTTCATCAATAACGCATTAATGTCTTGTGCTCTTTGCAATATTTATCATTAACAAAATATGGTCCGACACTGTCTCGGAATGGTAAATTATAAAAACTCAACCAGTTTGGGCAAAAAAAAAAAAAAATTAAGCACGACAAAATATTTTCTAGTTTTGTTTTCACTTAGAACAGATACACCAATTGTTATGAACAATGAATATATTTCGAGGCAGCCATGCCTCATCTTTCGTAAACAAAAATGTCTTTTTAAGAATTCATACCTATTATTGTTCAACTGAAGTTATAAAAAGATTCCTTAAAATTACACCAATAAAAAGCAATTATTAAAAAAAATTGGTGATTTATATAATTTTAATTTTACTTACGACCATCGAAGCATTAGGAGAATTATGTAAAAGACAAACAGTAAAATTTATATATTTAATTTAATCATTGCTCGATAAGTATAGTTTAAATTTAAGATTTTAGGCTTCCAAGCTTTAAGCTTTTGATTCTTTGCATTATTCTGTAGATTTTTGTAGTATTCAACAATGGAAAATTATTAAATGATAGAATATTAATTTTATTTTTTACCGAATTGTGTAAAAGACTAACAGGGAAATCTATATATTTAATTTAATTACTGGTCGATAAATAAACTTTAAATTTAAGCATGTTAGTGCTTTCAAACTTTAAACTTAATCGATTCTTTGTATTATTAAGACTAGATGGTTTGTAACAATGTTACAAAAATATTTAAAAATTTTCGTTGCAGTACTGCATTGGCCATTAGTTGCATCTTGAGAATTTTCTATTCATATAATTCAATTTTCACAATATCGTGTACTTAATATTTTGATATAAATATAATATAATGAGTTTATGTTTTATATATGTAATCTTCGTGTTTAAATCTAAAATCGATTTTCAGAAGGGCTTTTAACCAGTTTCGAAAGATATTCTCGTAACAATCCCAGAATTCAAAACTTTCTCTATCTTCTGTTGACGCTATCGAAATTCTTTCAGAGTCTACGATAAAGCTTAAAACGTAAAACGATTTAAAAAATAAAAATAAAATAAAGTTAAGGCAGTTTGCTGTTGCTATTATTAAGTGATTGGGAGAAAACAAGTCTGAAAAACGTTCGATGAATAATACATTTCTTGCAGTTGTCTTGACAGTTCGGAATGCAAGTTCGATGAACGCGCGCTTGGCGCAAAAACTTCCTCCCAATTAGAAAAATAAATAAATAATTATATTATAAGCTTATAAAATTTTGAATACATTTCCTGTAATTTTTGTTTGCGTGTGCCTCTGTGTAGATAATCAATTTTTGAATGTATTAATCCATTGGTCTAATTGACCCGATTAATTATTCTTTTTATTTAATGTCTTGAATGAGATTAAAAATTAAATATGTCACGATAGATCAGCGGCGTATGGAGCCGAAGGTCGCGGGTTCGAAGCCCGGTCGTGACACTAACTTTTTCACCTTAGCCAACACCTTATATAAAAATAATAATTAATTTAAATAGATAATTTAAAAAATTATACGCAATAATTTTTTATTTGAAATAAATTTTTGTACATATGTATATATAAATATGTTATAGATAACATTGAGTAAAATGTTATTGATATGGAAAAATGATTTGTTAAAAAATAAAGTATTTAATATTTAAAAGAAAAATATTGGCAAATTTCATAATTTTTGCAAATAATTTTTTCTCTTTAAAAAGACAGAAAAAATTATTTAGTATTTAAATTTGATAGATGCATTTAAGGGATTTTTTAAATAGTTTTTTTTTAAGTTAGAAAAAATGGCCTAACTTGTTCCTTTAAATTATGTATATGTGGTAGCTTGTCAAAAAAAATCCATTTTCTTGGCTAGTGTGACACGTGAATGATCAGGCAAGCATAACCTGGCAACATAACTCGGCCCAGCCCGAAGGTTGGACGTAAAATGGGCGAAGAGCGAGACTCACCGCACATCTCGGCCGAAGGGTTGTGTCAGAGCGTGAGAAAGGGTAGTCACTCGCCCCCAAGCCAGAACGAAACTGAACTAAAGAGTGGAACAAGTCTGGCTGAATGTATCCCACAATTGACGGCCCCACTACCGAGTTGGAGTGAACGCACCTCCACCCGGCCGACTACTCTCACTTGGCCCAAGGCGCCTCGGTCTCCGCCCTCGAATCGCGCACAACGTAAGCCATTCACGTAACTGCCGTAGAGGGTGGAATGTGAACTCGACCAAACTGACATTAAATTGGTTTTGGAAAGGCTGGGATACTCGTCAAATCGAAAATGTCAACACTTACTCTAAGAAACACACAAACACCATGAAAATTCTTTTTAAAAACCCCTAAGAGTTAAAGAGGTAATTTTTAACATCCTTTGATAGTTTTTCACAAAATCAAGTATCAAAATGTTCTTTGCCCCTCCCAAAATTCTTTTTTTCTTTAAATTATTTTTTATTTAGTTTTTTTAGTTCGACGTATGCCTGCATCTAGAGCTGTGTCAACAAAATTCAATTAAAACAAATCTCATAAAACAATGAGCAATTCAATTTTGGGAAGGGTGTAGAGATTGACCGTTAATCAATAGTTATTCAGATATCGTGAGATGCGGTCGGGTGTGATGTAGGTTTGAGAAAAACATTTTCTTTATCGTGCCAACGTTTCGATCTTTTATTGAGATCATTTTCAGGGCCTGGGATTTACAAACAATGTTTACATTTAACAATTACATTTAGATCGTGGAAAAGTGAATTTATACAATGCAAAATATATTTTATATATTCAATCAAAGTATTTCTACTCACTCAAAGTGTTTGTCTTCTGTGTAATTGTGCCATCCTTGCGTGTCTTGTTGAGAATGCCAGTGAGAGGCAAGGATGGCACAATTACACAGAAGACAAACACTTTGAGTGAGTAGAAATACTTTGTTTGAATATAAAATATATTTTGCATTTTATAAATTCACTTTTCCACATCCTAAATGTATTTGTTAAATGGAAACATTGTTTGTAAATCCCAGGCCCTGAAGATGATCTCAATAAAAGATCGAAACGTTGGCACGATAAAGAAAATGTTTTTCTGAAACCTACATCTCACCCGACCGCATCTCACGATATCTGAATAACTTTGGGAAGGGTTTTAAATTAATTAACAATTGCATTGATTAGTTTTCATTTACTGCCAATCAAATTTTAACATATTTCTTTCGGTCATGCTCATTATATCGAGTATGTCTCATATAATTGGTTCCTCCAAAATCCTACTCGTATGGAGTTTATTAATATTTTTACACATGTACCATTTGCACGTGCTACATAATATAAACTATATTCATACAATTTATAATATAAATTATATTAAATTTTCATATAATTCGTATAATTTATAATCAACTGACAACCCCAATTTTTCTGAAAGTAAATTATGTTCTGAGAAGAATGAGTACCACAACTTTCGAACACCCGAAGATTGGCGCCTATAGAATTTGAAAGTATTCAAAAATTAAGGAATTTATTAGTTCGTCGTACATCGTCCAGAGCTGTGTCAACAAATTTTATTCAAACAAATGTAATAAAACAATGGACAATAAAATTGTGTGAAGGTTTTTAAATTACTTGACAATTGCAATAATTAGCATTAACATTTACTGTCAATGGACCTATCGAATTTTAACATATTTCTTCCTGTCTTCCTCATTACATTGATTATGTCCCATATAATTGGTTACCTCCTACTCGTAGGGAGTTTATTAATATTTTTACACATGTACCATGTATAATATATAATAAGTAATACATAAATAATATTTTAATTACCTTTCACATATTTTATTTGTAACAGCACAACAAAATATATAAAAAAATTAATGGTCATTTAAAAAAATTATATACAGTCTTTTTTAACAAGCGCCAGTAGGATTTCCCTATTTTTTGAATAGACACAAAACAGTGGCCAATAGTAACATTACATCTTTGCGCAGATTCCAAAACCATCGTAAATTTTTCCACGTCAAATATTGCCTACGTCGACGTCACTTTTTTATTTTCATATAATATAAATTATATTACATTTTCATATAATTTATAATCAAATGGGAACCTCAATTTTTTTTTCTGAAACTAGATTATTTTCTGAGAGGAATGGGTAACAGTTTTGGAACACCCGAAAATTGCTGTGTATAGACTTTGAAAATATTGAAAAAAATAAGGAAATTGCGTAATAATTTTGATTAAATGAAAGTTTCGGTTTTCTTTTTGCCCCATGAGGTAGATGAACATAATAATAATAAAAAAAGGGGGCGTCGGTGGCCGAAACGGTTTAGGCTTTGACACGGCATCGATCACTGTAAGGTAAAGGTCCCGGGTTCGAATCCCAGCGGCCTTTTTCAGAAACACTGTTACCCCGAGGGTTGATATAACCTCTGCTGTTGCGAACCAACGTAAAAAAAAAGAAGCTTGAAACACAAATATTTCTCATAAAAAAGTAATGACAATACGTGAATGTAATTATATGGTGGATAATTTTATTTTCCTTCCTTTGTGACTGTTGTGGCCAACAATATTAAAGTAATTATTTAGACTTAATAAATGTTGAATCCGGAATCTTTTGTTCTTATTTAATAATTAAATGTATACCAGCCCTCCCGCATATCCGAAATTAATTCAAGCATTTTGCAAAATTGTTCGGTCAATGTACAGTGACCATTTCATCTTGTTTAATAAACATTATTTGCAAAATTTCTTGAATTTGGTGGTTAATTTGATATAAAAAGTGACGTTAGCATCGACGATTCTTGACGTAAAAAAATCTACGCAAAAATGTAAGTGGGTTAGCATTGATAACTTTGTGTATCTGTTCAAAACATCGGGAAAACCTGCGGGCGCAAAGGAACGCATTTCAAAAAAATCGCGATATGTATTATTTATCGTTATATGAATTACAACATTCTTATATTAATGTAAATCAAATTAAACGAGATCAAAATAAAAATTATTTAATTTTTAAGGTTTGAAAGAAAACTCACCAAAACATCGGAAATCATTTAGTGAAAGAATGAATTTAACTAACAATTTATTACCTGGTTTTACTGATAACAACGCATTAATAGCAAAACTTGGTAAGAAAATTGTTAATTTAATTTTAATCTGCCACTAAATATTTTCCGGCGTTTTGGTAAATTTCTTTCAAACCAGAATAATTAATTAATTTTTCATTAAAACTCATGACTTTCTGATCTTGTTAATTTGGCATACATTAAATTATGGTATTAAATCAAAATGAAAATACATATAGTCTGAAGTAAACAACAAAATACGACCGGTTTCTCCGTTTTTTATCTTCGAGTGTTTATAAAAAAATGTTAATGATTGGAGATCAGTATTACTTATAAATTAAATGAAATATGTATAAAGTTCCGAAATTACTATTGTTTTAGTAGGTGGCTAATATAACTTTATAAAATTGTTTGTTTTTACAATTCTTGTCTTCAATCAGATATCTTTGAATAGAACAAAACAGATGATCAGGTTTTTGCTCACTTCTACCATCGCAATTTGAAATCTACATAACTTTTAAATTTACCATGCCTAGTAAGAAACATCGTTAGATTTGGGATAATTTAGATTCATACGTATAATCGATAATATTTTATTAACTGTAACAAAATATTCTTTAACTGAAAATTTGTTGTCTGAGACATCTGCCTCTTGCCTCTCTTTGTAGAGTCTTGAAAAAGATTTGATATAAGAATTTGGACAAAGTTTGTAGTTCGATGGTTACCTAATCGATCTGCTCTATCATTGTTCGCTATGCTTATGTGAGCTTTAATCCATTCTAAACCGTAAGCCATGTTCCTTCGACATACTAAATAATTTTTCGAATTTCTTCAATGATGGGTTATTGTAGACTTCTGATTTCGACAATGACGATAGATGTTTACTATATGCGTTAATAGTGATTATTTTTGCAGAATTGTTTCAACCATTTTAATGATTTTAATATCCCTTTGGCTTGATTATTCAAACAAACACTAGCCAGTTTATATTTGCCTTCAAAATTATTAAATTATTATAAGATATAACAATTGCATAATAAACTGAAATAATTAAAAAATAACTAAAACAATGAGAAATAAAATGGCATGAAGGCATTTTCTTCTTTATCTTGCATGCTCCATAAAACTAATAAATCCACGTGCTTATTATGTTTTTATTTATTTTATAGGAACGGTTCGGTGATGTTTAAATGTTCACTTTGATCAATCTGGTTTTTTTTTCACTGAGTTTGGGTGTTGGTACGTGTTTCTTAGAGTAGGTGGTTGACATTTTGGATTTGACCAGTATCCCAACCTGTCCAAAGCAAATTTGGCAATTCGGCGCTGTTCGTATTCCACCTTTTACCTGCTTTTAATTGCATCTATACATGCGGGTACAAATTTCATACGAAATACAAAAAAAAAAAGAGTATTTTAGGCTAGACCATAGACACTATTTCGTCAGTTTTTTAATTTTCTCGAACTACTATCTAAGAATAAGTGTACTTATACCTTTTGGTTTTTTAAATTAATTTGCATGTTTGTTGTAGTTTCTAGGAAAAGATGTTGATATTTTGGATTTGACGAGTTTCTCAGTCTGCCCAAAGCTTATTTAAAAGGAGTTCAGCATTGTTCACCCCTTTACTATTATCGATGCTGACATTTTCCTGAGCCTGAGGATAAAATAAAATTCGAAAGTTTCGTCAATGCATTAAATGTTGACAATATTAAAATTAAGAAATGAACAACAAATGTAAACTTTAATACAATAAAGCCATACTATTTTTTAACTTTAAGTAATGCATGAAAAACCATCGATAGAATTTACTTAATAATAATTTTTATTGATAAATGTTATTTGTAGGTAGGCTTGTTATAATAAGCATTTCTTAGGCATTCCTTGATCCTTCGAACATAATTTAAACAAATATGACATGGTCTCAGGTATGATTTATTGGAAGACCGCATGGACATATTGGATCATAGGCGATATTAAATCTATGGAGATAGGACTTATCCATGCCCGTTCAATCTTGGATCATTTTGAAACTTTTCTGAAAGTCGACGGTTAAGCGGAGTTCGATT